AAGAGGGGAAAACCAGGGACGCGCTCAAGCGCTGGTCCTGCCAACGAGAGGTCAGCTGGCAAGGCCAGGGCTTGGCCGGGCAGCGAGCGCCGCTCACCCGGGTCACCCCCGGCTCCTGGTGCCAAACCTGGGGCTCCCAGGTCGGGTTCACTTTTCTACCGCATCCAGGCACCCACAGAAGCTGCCAAGGCTGTTGTCTCACGGCGACACCTTCGTGTTTATCAGCACTGCTCTGGTGGTGGGAGAGCAAAGGAAGCCGAGCCTGGGGATTTCTTTGTGTGAAATATCAGGTCTGATGCAGTTCCCAGATGGCAGCAGCATTGAAGAGCCATAGAGGCCAACTCTCCGTCTCGCTTGCTCACGCCCCAGCCCACGGCATTTCATCGTTTCACAGTGTAGTTCAGACACAGCCAACCATCCCTCTGCTTTACATGTTTTTATTTATTTTGCCATTTTAATAATACATGAGAAAGCAACTTTAAAACAGCTTTCAAAATTTAAACAGTTTATCACAGTTTTTATATTGCAGCAAATTTTTATCTGTTTTGCAGCCTTATAACTAGTTATATATACATGAGAAAGCAATGGTTACATATCTCTGGGGAAAGGTCCAAGCGTGTGTGTGGGGAGACAAATAAAACCAGCCCCCTTGGCTTATTGCTGCTGCCAGGCGTAATGTTTAGGGGAACAAAGCAGGGTGCAGGATCAGGCCTTTACAGAGGCTGGATGAAATCTGCCTTCTCTTGTTTTGCAGCTGGGAACATGCAATTATGAATCCTAAAAGGAAACGCACCAATTACTTGTGTGGTTTCTGTGAAATAAGGTTTTCTGAATGAAGAGTTGGGGGAAATTTTGAGCACAGTGGCTATTACCTTTGTTTCCGCTTAATTTCTAGTGGAACTAATTAAGAATGATCATTGCACTGAGGCAGCAATCGACCACAGAGCGTTTTCCCAGTCCTTTCTTGGCATCCCAGAGATTAAGATTCCTAAAAATCTATCACAAAGGAGAACAAAGCAAACATGATTTCGAAGTTCTTCATTTAGTCACAAAGCTCGAGGCAGAAGAGAGGATGGGATATACTTGCTATACATGGACATCTCCAACATAAAGATTATACACACATTATTGACCTTTAAAACCGCCTATTAGCTTTATGGTAAAGTCGATAAAGAAATAACCTGCTATAATATGCTATCCGATTAATTGTGTATTTTTGTTTTGATTAAAGGGACACTTGCCATATACAGTTCATCCCTGAATTTAGCCATTGTAAACCTGAAATGAACAGCAATGCCCCCACAGAATTATTGTACTTTATTCCTGTGAAATACTTTTTTAGAAATAATAGCTAAGGTTTTCTGAAGGTATATATGGGAATTTGAACATTCAACTAGGAAACTGAACTGACAAAATGTAAAAAGGAGAAAAATATGCACTGAGGAAAATAAAGTATATGTATATTTAAGATGTTTTATGTTTAATAATTTTAAGCTGTAGTGGTGATATCAGAAAGAAACCTGGATTTTTATGTCCTTTTTTTTTTTTAAGTATCCGGTTTGTGATTGACAGTGTCCCTTTGCAATGGTGTTGGGCTGTAAACTAGAGTAGTTCATATTCACGTGAACACACACGTTGTAAACTTGAAGCACTGGAGATTAAAAAAAAAGAAAAGGAAGCACGTGGTATAAAATCATAAAAAAGATTATGCTAATAAAAGCCAAGTGGCAGCAGCAGCAGCAGCTAGAACTGCTGGATAAGGCGTCGGCGCTGTGAGGTCTTCCGCAGCAGCCTTCTGTAGTCATAGGGATTATCTTCCGCTTTACCCTCTTCCAGAGGGCTTTCTGCAACCCTCGACCTAGAGATTAAGCACAGACAGAAGTGCTTTAGAAATTAAAGGCAAAATATTTACCTTGGCAAATGCTACTAATCGACTGCTTAACCTCCACCCTCAGCAAACTGAAAAAGGAAAAAAAATCAGCTGATGTTCCCAGGCCTCTTCTGTCTCTGCTGCACAGAGCAGGCACCTCATACAGCCGCATTATACCAAGAACAGGTGAACATTGAGAACAACCAGCTCTTCTAAGAAGGGGACCTAATAAAACAACACAGTAACAATACTGAGAACACAGACAGGTGCTTTACAGTAGCTTTTTCCTAATGGTTTTCCTGGACCAGATTTTCAGTTGATGTAAACTTGCTTGGTTTTTTTTTTTTTTAGTCTGCTTGTTGAACTCATCTTATTTGGATACCAAATTGCACACTGGAAGGCAACTCTGACAGGCTAGAGTAGTGACCCGACATCAGATATGCTCATGGAGCTGGATTAAAAATAAAACTAAGCTACTTAGAGACAGTCTATCATGCTGAAGTAATGACAGGAATATGTAGCGTTCTACACCGGAGGTATGCACCACCAGGCAATGGCATGCCAAAAAGTATAAAATAAAAAATGGAGATTTAATTTCTCTAGATCCAGGGGACTGTGTTACATACACACAAAAATTTTCTATTCCAGAAAGAATAACCCACAGAAAGTGTTTCTTACTTAAATTTAAGACAGAGTAAAATATGCCCTCAGAGATAATAGCGTAAATTCAGTCACACAGATTTTTTTTTTTTTCTTTGGCTATTCAGGATGTAATCAGAGCTACACATGATGCGAAGCAAGAACTTCCTTTCTGTGAATGTAGTGGCAAAAATCTCACTCATTTGAACCAGACCTCCTATTGTTCTACAGCTTCCTACTGAAACTGAAAGACTTGATACAAAATCACTATCAAGAATATTTTGGATATATTTGGATATGTTTCTAAAATTCAGCAATCCTCCCAGACCTATAATGTTTCCTTTAAGCCTTTTACTTTATTTTCCAAGTTTTTCCCATGTAGAAATACACAAGCATATAAATATATTTAACCGTGAGTGTGTGCAGAACGCATGCCCGTGCACTAGCAAACGCCAGCATACGGTCTCCTTTGCCTGGCAGCGGTCAGCAGGTCCGTGGAGCCTTCCCTTCTGCTGCTTTGCCACCCTGCCCACATTGGTGGCATCCGCACTGCTGCAGGGCAGCAGGAGAAGGAGGAAGCCACGTAGCTGTCTCAGCTGCAAGAAGTTCAACAGCCACCTACCCCATTTAAAGTCTGAATCAGAAACAGAAGTTTTAGATTCTGCTTTCATTTTTCGCCATTTTAGACGAGAGATTTCCAGCAGGAAGTCTGTCCCTCTCATCTGGAGCTTGGCAGGCAGGCTGAACCCCAATCATAGTCCCCCAATATGTCCCTGCTACATGAAGATGGGAATTTTTCAGATCAAATTTGCAAGATTCCATGATTAGGAAAAAAAAAATTGAAAGTGCATCTTTATTCGTATGAATATGTACATGACAATATACAGACATACACATATATGTGTCTAAATACACATACATGTTTCTAAATTAAGATATATAACATGTATTTTTTCCTATTTTTATTTTGTGTGACTTACCGTTCAGCGGCTCTTAAAGTTGAAGTCCTGCGCTCAACTGGTTGTCTCTTCTTTTTCGTGGTAGAACTGCTGTCCTTTGAGGTGGAATCAATGGATGAAATTTCTTGGTAATAGACATCTAAATCTAGCACTTTACCTAGACTGTCAATAAACAAGTATATTAAGTTAACAAATCCACTTTTCAACGTAGTATTCAACATTCATAAAGAAGATAACCAAATACAGTTAGTAGTTGTGTTTGTGTATTGAAGGTCTAAAGAAAATAATACATATACACAAGCAACCAATCTCTAAAATGTGACTGCTGTATAATGCAGATGTTGAGATTTTTGAAATGCTAAATACTGGCTGATCCCACCAGCAAATACTGTGTGGTAGTATTTGGTATGCAAGGATTATATCTGGCTTTGTTGTTACTGTGCACCGATATAATTATATATATATACCAAAAAATCAAGGTAGTACTGGGACTTCAAGGTCAGACACTACCAGGCCACTTCCAGCAATGTCATTTTCAGTGATATATTTCAACTGTGGTAGTAATTTCATTATGAGAATTGTTCTTCAAAGGATTTATGTTTTAATGACAAAAATATGCTTTAAATTGTAATTTAGGTGTCAAGTTTTTCAGCTCAGCCAACAAATTAACATTCAAGCATATCGGTATACTTCTGACACTCCCTAGAGGTCCTTAAGAACCAAATTCATCATGGAGATCGACAGGCCATAAGAAAATAATAATCAGCTATATATTTAACTCTTTCAAGTCTTCATAGGAAAAAAGGCAGTAAACATGTAGAACTGGACTTTTTAGATAATTTGCAAATGTGATGCAGAGATTTTCATCTCAATTACACAGATTTATGCATCTTAAAAGTGAAATAATAGTGTCTGCACCCTGTTAATCTGGGATGTCCTGTGGCATCCAGAATAGAAAATTAGCTGCTGGTCTCCAAATAAGCAGGGCATATTATCCAGAACTTTTCTTGAAGATTCAGCACCTGGAATAAGGACAGGACTTTGAAAGCAATTCTCCGTGCCCAAAGTGAGCACAAGACAGGGAAGAATTTGCTTTGCTGTTCATCCTGAATCTAACATCTGCAGTTTTCTGTTTCTGAAATTGTCTGCTCATCCCATTAGCAAGACTAACAGAAAACTCAGTTTAAAGAACATGTCCACTACATGGAAACTGCTTATAGGAAGCCTGAGTTGGAATGGCCTTGTTGCAATGTGCTCTAGGTGGCCCTGCTTGAGCAGGGCGGTTGGACTAGATGGATTTCCAGAGGTCCCTTCCAACCTCAACCATGCTGTGATTCTGTGTTCTGAGCATAGTTTGTGCGATGCACTGCAGCTGGTATTTCAGTGAAGACACCATACTTGAGAGCCATGGAATATGCCCATGAAAGGTGTCCAGGGCAGCAAGGCTCAGCAACTGACAATGGTTTTCAAGATGCTGCTAATTATAACTAATAGTTGCAAAAGTACATACTGGAAAGCTGAGCATACAAGAGAAGGCACTGTATGATACTGCACTATATTACTGTTAAACTTACTAATCAGTGACCTGGAGGAAGGGTTAGAATGCACCCTCAGCGAGTTTGATGATGATACAAAACTGGAAGGAGGGGTTGATGCACCAGAGGGCTGTGCTGCCGTCCACAGAGACCTGGACAGGTTGGAGAGGTGGGCAGAGAGGAACCTCATAAAGTTCAACAAAGGCAAGTGCAGGGTCCTGAGCCTGGGGAGGAATAACCTCAGGCACCAGTACAGGCTGGGAGTGACCTGCTGGAGAGCAGCTCTGTGAAGAAGGACCCAGGAGTCCCGGTGGACAACAAGTTGACCATGAGGCAGAAATGTTGCCTTCTGTGGCCAAGAAGACCAAAGGTATTCTGGCCTGGGTTAGGAAGGGTCGAATGGCCAGCAGGTTGAAGAAGGTGATTCTCTCCCTTTACTCAGTCCTGGTTGAGTAGGTCACATACGAAGTGCTGTGTCCAGTTCTGGGCTCCCCAGCACCAGAGAGGCGTGGAGCTACTGCAGTGAATCCTTTGAAGGGTCACTAACATGATGAAGAGACTGAAGAACACCTTTCTTCCTATGAAGAAAGGCAGAGGGAGCTGGGAGTGTTCAGCTTGGAGCAGAGAAGGTTGAGGGGAGATCTTACCAATGTGTTTAAGCATCTGAGAGTGTCAAGAGGATGAGGTCAGACTATTTTTAGTGGTGTCCAGCATTAGGACAAGAGGCAACAGCCACAAACTGAAGCACAGGGAGTTCTGTCTGAATATGAGGAAAAACATCTTTACTTCGAGGGTGACAAAGCACTGGGACAGGTTGCCCAGAAAGGCTGTGGAATCTCCATCCTTGGAGATGTTCAAAAGCCATCGGACCGAATCCTGGGCAGAGGGCATTATGTGACCCTGCTTGAGCAGTGGGGTTGGACTTCTTGATCTCCAGGGAGATCTGCCTTCCAACCTCAACCATTTCGTGATTCTGTGATACTCATGCATCCTACTTTGTCTCACAGAGTGGGATTAATTTCACTTTAGATGTTCATGAGGCAGATACACAGCTGAACTGGTAGGTCTGGATTTGCTGCCATACTCAGAGGCATTTTTATGATATAATTCATCTGATCTGTTCTAGATATCTCTTTTAGGGATTGATGAATCATTTTCCTAAAGATGCTTATATTTTGTCCTGTGACTACAAGAAGGGAATCTACAGCAACTAGTTCAATACTGATGTCATCGATGCAGACATCTATATTTTGTCAGATAAGAGCTACCCAGTGCCGTAGGTACAAAAAAAAAAAAAAAAAAAAGACCAAAAAAAAACCAAACAAACCCCAACGCCAATATTTAAAAGGCTAGGGGGAAAATAGTCTCCTAAAAGCTACCTGAAAAAGATGTACAGAATTCATCTCTCACACTCTCACATTGATACAAACCAGAAATAACTCCATTGATTTCTGCTATGCTAGTAGAGTTAGCACATGAAAGAAGATGCTGTCATGGAATCACTTGTCTAGATTTAAGATGAGTAAAATCAAACTGAGGCCAAACAAACAAACCCCACTAGATCTGCATTTTCTTCCTGCCAATGAGAGACACCAATATATGTTTTTTTTTTTTTTTTTTCAAGATTCACATGGCATCAGAAGAGAGCACCTAGAACTGACACTCGAGGAGGTTATGGACATTAACTGAATCTCCTAAGCAATGGTGTATCAAGTAAAATTTTAGCTGTAGGTGAACGTGCTTTGAATGAATGAACGTGCTTTGTGCATGTGATCTGTGTGTATAATGTCATGTAACTTTATCTAAGATAAATATGTTACATATGGGGTCTTTATCTTGAAGCTTCAGCCAGTTTAGTGTTAAGGGCCCATTCACACAGTTGTCAGGCATCTTGCATTTATGAACAGACTAGCGCAGCATCACATGTGTCACTAGGGAGCAGCCAAAAAGCTCAAGCAGGGAACCACAAACAAACAAAGCTACTGCTTGTACGTACAGCAGAAACTGCAAGCTATGAATTTACCAGGTCTACCTCATGTGAGGATCTAAGATATAAAAAGTAGGATATATGTACTACTGCCTTTATCCTACAGAGATCTATCAAAATAGGTTAGTTACACTTTGAAAATAAAAAGATTTCTAGTTGAAATTTCAATGACTGCTTTTTTTCCTAGTTATTAATTATATTACAGATTATATATCTACCTGTATATTTTTAATAAAGGATTTTAATATTCTTTGTATATTTGCCAACTAAAAAGAAGTGGTTGCGCATTTGCTTTGACTGGAATCTTAAGCACTTACAATTATTTTCTGTATCAGAACTGTCTTTGAGGTGGACCTTATCTTATTATTGTGCTTCCGTTGCCATGGTAAAGGACCAGTAAAACTAAATGACTGAACTCTGTAATGGATTTTTGTTTTTTCAAAATTGTATATTTTAACTTTTTACAGGATGCCTTTCATGTGAATCACCAAATTACTATTTATTATTATTATTATTTTTTAACACTTTATTTTTCCAATTGAAATATGGCTAAGGACTATTTCTAGAGTACCAAAATGAAAATAGAGAGAGATAATGAAAAAAATTACCTGTCTTTCCTTGGTTTCCGTTTTTCATCTTGTATTGATTTCTAAGAAAATATGAAGTAGTTAATTTTTTTTTAATGTGCTGAAATGTACATTTTTGTAAAGGTACAATTCATAAATGTTGAGGATGAGAGTTTATTTTTTGTTATGAAAATTATAGAGGACACCGTTTGCAGAAGAGCAGAATAAGTGCCCTGGCAAAATCTCTTTTCAGAATCTTTGTGGATGTGAATGTCACTGAGAATGCAAATATCACTGTTAATCCCAAATTTTAGTTGCCATACTATGAAAAAAAAAATTAGTTGTGATCAGAATTGAAAAGCACATCTAAAACCTTCAGGTATCTATTGTTGTTTTAATAAAGCTGAAAATACTGTCTACTGAGGGACATTTCTTTGGTGCCATGACAATTTACTTGAATACAAGGCATGCAGTGGGGAAAGGAATAATCCTGTTCAAGGCAGCATTGTCACAAGCTTTAGTAGAATAAAATGGACAAAGCTTCCATTCAAAAAGCAGTGTACTAGGTGGCAAAAGTACCACTAGGACACAAAAGTCCCATGCAAAACAGAGTGATTCATAGGGAATATGAATAACTATCTCTAATAGATTTCTGTCTTTACAGAGAAAAATACTGTGCTGCAGAATCTAAAGCATGACATTTCAAAACTAGTATTTTTAAGTGCAGAGAGTCTTAATTATGTTTGTTGCAAAGGAGTGAAAACTTATTAGAATTAATCAATTGTACCACTTTATAGTCACTGTAACAGGAGAATGAGGAATCCTAATGGACAGACTATTCGATATCCAGGCAAATACACACGACGTATAATTCCCAAGTGATAGGCTGTAAATCCAAGAATAAACTGTTAATGCCTTGTACGAAAAAAGGGCCACTGTCAGGCTTCATTTGTACCTGTGTACCACCTTACTTCTTTGGATGTGCAAGGAAATGAGTGAGAATAGAGGATATCTCATTAATATCTGTAATGCAATGGGAGGGAAATACCTATTTTTTGCAGGGGGAGCAAAGCAAATTTTGCAAAAAAGATAGGCATTCATTATAGTGAATGCCTTAACTTCCAGGTAACCAGCTTGACCTGTGAA